CTCCGTTTGGCGGGGCGGGGAGCGATGCCTTTGGAGCCGAGATGGCTTTGGGCACCTGCCAGCTCTTCCTCCAGGTCCAACTGGAAGGAAGCTTGGGCCAAGGGGCGGGGAGCAGCCAGAGAGTTCAGTGCAGCCACTTCCAAACGAAGTCAAGCGTCCAGCTAGTATCCAGGTTACGGAAGGAATGTGGTTCGGGGGCGGGGGCAGGGGAAGCATCTCCAGCACGGCTTTCCCGTCCGGGTGCTGGGTGGGTGTAAACGGGGCGAGGCCCGCGGTGCCCGGAGAGGGGGTCGGTGGCCGTTTCTATGGGGATCCTGTCCTCCCCTTGGTTCCTACTCCTGCTCTAGCCGCCAGCCCATTGGTGCCTGGGTGCCGCGGTGGGTTAGAGTCTGGAGGCCGAGCACAGTGAGAGCACAGGGCTGCCGAGGAGGCTGGCGCACTGCGGGGCCACAGGCCCAGGGCAGCCGGGCTGTCCCTCCAGGTGCAGGAGGGAGCATTGGGGAGGTTCGGGGGAGGAGTGACTGCCCTCCAGTGCGCCCTGGGCGCCCTCTGAGCATTAATTTGGGAAATGACCACTTCCTCTTACAGAGGCCTTTTCCTCGCATTCTGTGGTCTCGCTCCAGAGCCAAGCTGCTGCCTGGGCAGGTGCGCCCAGGACCAAGCCTCAGTTACAGCCGGTGACCCGGGAACCTGCACCGAAGGGTGGGAACCACCCGTTTTCCTCCAATGGTAAGTGGGGCCAGGGGGTGGAGGTGGGTGAAAGCACACTGGTTTCCCTGTGTCCCTTTGTTGTCGCTACACTTAGGAAGACCAGGGTCTAAACAAGTGAGAGGTCAGGATGGAGGTGAGAGGTCAGGGTGGAGGTGAGAGGTCAGGGTGGAGGTGAGAGGTCAGGGTGGAGGAGAGAGGTCAGGGTGGAGGTGAGAGGTCAGGGTGGAGGTGGGAGGTCAGGGTGGAGTGAGAGTTTAGCCCTGTCTCTCGGCTGGTGCTGCTGATGCAGTTTCCTACGCGAGGACTGGTTGCCTTTCTCTCTGTGCCCAGCGCCACGCTATACCCCCTGTAATCTAATTCATTAACCACTCAGTGCCCACCTACCCGCCCTCGCCGGGAGCCGGCCGTGCTCTGAGAGGCCGGGTTCCTGGCTTTGCTCTCAGAGCTGGCGCGGATCTCCTGTCTTGCTTTTGAAACTCTGACTCCTGCCTAGGAGCCTCCTTTTCCTAGTATTTTTTCAATCATTGTTTTTCCAAAACCCAACGTAGACTGGTTAGAACTACTCTTGAACTCACATTTTGCTACCTGTATGCGCTCTGCATGGAAAGCTCTGACCCCCAGGAGGGTCTCGCTCCAGGCTGCACGGTGGCGGCTCCGCCCTGGCCACGCCCTGGCCTCACTCTTTCACTTACTCACTTGCCTCAGCTCAGACCAAGCCAAGACCCCAGAACAGAGGCGTGTAGGCAGAGGGTGAGAAAGGTCACGGCCACAGCGTGTTCACAATGCATAAGGGAGCGTGCCCCACGGCGTCCCACATGAACACTGCGCCTGTATGAAGACGGTGTACATACAAGCTCGGGACCGAGACCTCCACAGAGTAGGCACGTTTCACATAGCTGCTCATTATATCGTGAGCCCCAATCATAGAGACCCTTATGCTTTATTTCCAATAAAAGGTTTTCAGCAATGGTAGAAGCTGAGTTGAATTTCTTGCATTATAAGGAAATGGGCCGTAATTCGATCATTCTGTAATGCTAGTATTTTCTTTTAAGTGTTCTTTTTTTCATTACTGTTTCTGTGTTCCAGCTGCTTGAAATGACTCCACATCTTACCAGGGTGACCTTGAGTGCTCACCGATCACCAGATTTTCGAGTGCAGCGAACTGCAGTTCTCCATGAAAGAACCCCCTCTGCGTTGACACCACTTGCACACCTGCAGGATCTACACTGTCCGGTGGAGTGGGGTCCGGTCGGGACTGCAGATGTGGGGCCCCGCTGCAGGCGCAGGACTGACGCCGTCCGGTGTGACTCCCCCGGTCAGAGAGGAGTCACCGGAGCGCCGCACTGGCTTTCCCGGGCGCAGTGCCGGGACCTGTGCTTGCTTCCCTTGCAGGCGGGCATCTGGACATAGGTGAGTGGGGAATCTGCAGCCTGGCTTTCATGTTTCCAGCTTTGTCTGCACACGTGCAATCGTTACATGGTTTAAATGGACAAATTTTCAAACTTGTGAACGTTGGAACCATTTAGGACCGTGGAAAAGGCTGGCTTTTCTGCCTCATGCCTGCCCAGCGAGGGACGGTTGAACACTGTGGTGCTATGTGTGCCTGGGAAGTATCTGCTGGACTTTGTTTCTAATGTGCACAGCTCCTCCGAGGTGCTTCCTGAAGCTAAATCCTCAATTAAAACTCCGCGATCGTGCGGAATCACCGCCAGGTGTGTGTGTCGCACACAAGGGGGAAGGTTGAGTTTCAGAGCTTGGCGTTGATTTGTTTGTTCGGTTGAGTCAGTGAAATGAATTCTCAGTTCTCCATTTCGTACACTGTTTACACAAAGTGAATGAAGTTATACAGGAAACGGCGGTCCATGCATGGTCTGAGTGGGGAGCATGTTACAGGCAGGCGTTGGGGTGAGCGCCGGGCAGACCTGAGTGTGAGAGCCACCAGGACGCAACAGGCACCGGAACATGCTTCCTGCGGGACTGAGCCACACTCCGCCTGCTGCCCTCGACAGCAGCTGCTTGACGTAACCAGCCGAGTGTCTCCTCAGCTTGGGCTGGTGGACGCTGGTGGGTTCGAGTTCACATGTGCTGCGCTCCAGCTGTGTTGCCAGGGCTGTGGAGTCACCTGCATGCACTGGCTGCGCAGGTCTTCAGGGAGGCGCCTTCGACTTGCAGGTGGAGGTCTCGCTTTCCTCGTGGGCGCCAACGTGGATTGCTCTCCCGGAGGCCCTGGACTGAGCGGGGGTTCCGTCTCTCCTCCGGAAATGAGGAGTGGGGGAGCCACGTGGTGTCGCTTCAGCTCACTGACGTCAGGTCAAGGTGGCCCCTGAGGCTCCTGCTTTTCCTTTGGGCCCCGGGAGAAGACAGAGGAAGCCCACAGACACGCCGCTTTGCGTGGGCTCCCTTTTCAAGCTTCCGCGGCCGCCCAGCAGCCTTAGCTTCCATCTCCCGGGCCAGACCGAGGAGTGGGGGAGCCATGCGGTGTTGCTTCAGCTCACTGACGTCAGGTCAAGGTGGCCCCTGAGGCTCCTGCTTTTCCTTTGGGCCCCGGGAGAAGACAGAGGAAGCCCACAGACACGCCGCTTTGCGTGGGCTCCCTTTTCAAGCTTCCGCGGCCGCCCAGCAGCCTTAGCTTCCATCTCCCGGGCCAGACCATGCCCGTGGCGTCTGCAAAGCTGCCTGAGAAATGGAGGTTTTGTAGCTGGACACAGAACTGCCTTGTACAAAAACCTGAGTCCTCTTTTTTATTTATTTTTATTTTTTAAAGATTTTTAAAATTGATTTTTAGAGAGAGGAAGGGAGAGGGAGAGCGAGAGAGAGAAGCAGCAGTGTGAGAGCAGAACGCGGATTGGCTGCTCCTGCACGCCCCCCACCGGGGATGGCACCAGCAACCCTTCGATGCATGGAACGGTGCCCAACCACTGAGCCACACTGGCCAGAGCCTTGATAAGGAAGGTGATGGTGGATCAGGGGTGCACAGCTCACAGTCTGTGCCTGGCCACGGAATGCAGTTGTAAAGGAGCATAATGTTTGACAACCGGCAACGCTCCCAGCACCGAGGCTCTGCTCAGAGCGTGCGCGGGGAAGACGCCCTCGCCTGCTCTCCAGCATCTCCGGGCTCCCAGCCAGCGCACTGCCCACCCAGGGCTTCTGGGGGCGGGCCTGGGGAGGGGACCCGCGGATGTGGGCATCGCCTCCTCATGGAGCCTGGGGTGGAGAGCCCCCTCTCCCCCGCCCTGGGCCACTCCACCATCCGCTTCACTTACCTCTGCTCCAGTTTTCCCAACAGATTTGGGGAGGAGTCTGGCCGGTGTAGCTACACCGACCCCCATACAAGGACCCTCCCTTCACCACAGGGGAGGGTGTTCTATGTAAAAAAAGCTACTTTACCCCCGTCTGTGGCCCTTCGCCAGCCCGGGGCTATTCTGGGAGAAAAGTGGCTGCTCAGAGCTGCTTCCACACGCAGCCCACACCCTGGCTGCACGAAGGGAGAAGAATCCCTTCCCACCCCCAGCGTGGCCACAGCTTTCTGTGAGGACAGGAACGTCCTGTCCCCCCCCCCCCCCCCCCCCCCAGCAGGGGATCGAGCACACAACCGGGGCATGTGCCCTTGACTGGAATTGAACTCGGGACCCTTCAGGTGACGCTCTATCCACTGAGCCAAACCAGCTAAGGCAATCTTCTCATGAGAAAACCAGTCATGTTGGATTAGGGGCCCACCCTACTGCAGCATGACCTCATCTTAATTAATTACACCTGCAGTGACCTTATTTCCAAGGAGGGTCACATTCTGAGGTACTGACATTAGGACTTCAACAGGTTAGCCTGCAGCTGTGCACCTCGCAGGTGTGCACAGTGGTCTCCTGGGAGCAGTCCTGTGACTGGCGTCAGTGATGCTGACAGGTTAGCCTGCAGCTGTGCACCTCGCAGGTGTGCACAGTGGTCTCCTGGGAGCAGTCCTGTGACTGGCGTCAGTGATGCTGACAGGTTAGCCTGCAGCTGTGCACCTCGCAGGTGTGCACAGTGGTCTCCTGGGAGCAGTCCTGTGACTGGCGTCAGTGATGCTGACAGGTTAGCCTGCAGCTGTGCACCTCGCAGGTGTGCACAGTGGTCTCCTGGGTGCGGTCCTGTGACTGGCGTCAGTGATGCTGACCGGGAGACCTGTGTCCTGGGTCCGCGCGTCATCCCCGGTGAGCACCTGCCTCTCCGGGCCAGCGGCAGGCAGCCCAGGCCGTTCTGTTCTGCTCTGCAGCCCATTCTGTGTCCCTTTATTTTGTGAAGCTGTGGCTGCGACATGATTATTCCGTGAATGCTTTTCAAAATACTCAGTGGTTTATGTTTTTTAAAAGGCTGTGAAATAAAGACATAATTATGTTTAACTCAGTTTTTTGTGTGAATTATTATTAACCATATTTTTAGGGAGTTAATTAGGATGAGATTAATGGATAGAAGGAAATGTTTATTTTTATATCAGATTTCCTTTTTTAAAAATCCTCACTTGAGGATGTGTTGGTTTTTTTTTTTATTGATGAGAGAGAGAGAGAGAGGGGGAGAGAGAGAGAGACTTCCTCTCTCATTGATGTTTCTATCTTTCTATCCCTCTCCCTTCCTCTCTCTCTTTAAAAAAAAAATCTATCTATCTATCTATCTATCTATCGGATTTCTTTTCATAAAGAAAATTATCTCCAAACATGGATGATTTGGGGATTAAGTGACTCAAAAGATTTAGTGCTGGATTTTTTTTAAGGCCTCCCAAACCTTTCAGATGTACTCACTGTGGGGAAAAAATGTGGGAAAGCAGCAATAAAATGTGGACACAGGCAATTAAATTAACACAGGCGAGGCTAACTCTGTCTTTGCTTGGCATTACTTCAGGAGGAACCAGGTTAAAATGAATACTTAAAAAATTGTCTGGCCTGGGCAGTGTGAGTTGACCCATGAACCAAGAGGTCACCAGTTTGATTCCTGGTCAGGGCACATGCCCAGGTTGCAGGCTCCATCCCCAGTAGGGAGCATGCAGGAAGCAGCCAATCAATGATGTTTCCCTCTCATGGGTGGTTCTATCTCTCTATCCTTCTCCTTTCCTCTCTCCCTAAAAATCAATAAAAACATTAAAAAATTGTCTAAAGATCCATGCCTACTAGTAAATGCGTCTTTCTTAGCAGGTGCTGGTGGCTGCCTGGAGAAAACATTGTTTTATCATCTAGCCTTCCCTCCAACTCCTTCCAGTCAAAAGCTCAGGGAATTTCCTGGAATCTTTGAAAATTGGGGGTGGCACTGTGTTGAAGTGTTTCCTTTATTAAAGATATATTTGTATTGATTTTAGAAAGAGAGGAAGGGAGAGAGAGAGAGAGAGAGAAACATCAATGTGTGAGTGGAACATCAATCAGCTACATCCTGCATGCCCGCCCCCTACCAGGGATTGAGCCTACAGCCTGGGCATGTGCCCTGACTAGGAGTTGAACTGACAACCTTTTGATGCACAAGACGATGCCCAACCAACTGAACCACACTGGCCAGGACAGACTCCCTTTTTAATGTACGTGTCTCTATGCGGATTAAAGTCTCTTTAAAAAATACCAAATGATTCATTGTATTCAGAGTTTGGGTAAAATATGAGGGTAGTAATGGTAGTGGGCTCATTCTTGTAACAAGTGTCTGTTGTTTGTCTACACTGGGCATCGCTTGATATTGCTTCTCTACCCGTGCCCTGTTTGAGGGTGCTTGTCTTTTACTATTGAGCTGTCGGAGTTCTTGCTGTGTCCTAGCCTCCATTCCTTTATGAGCTCTACGCTCTGCCATGACTTTCTCCTAGTTTGAAACTAACCTGTCCATTTTCTTACCTTTATCCTACTGTGTTAGGTGCTGTGGGAATAAGGCAGGTAAGGCCCCTACTGTACTGAGTGTAGTAGGTGGTTACCATTTCCACTACCTTAGTTAACCCCTGGTTGTCTGTGGGTCCTATCACCTGACACTTCCGGAATGTTTGCATTGAATTATGAAACGGTCGCTTTTTCTTCTTCAACCCTCAGCCTGATGCTTTTCTTCTTACTAATAAGTGGTGCTCTAGCCCAGCCAGCGTGGCTTAGTGGTTGAGCGTCAACCTATGAGCCAGGAGGTCCCCTTTCAATTCCCAGTCAGGTCACATGCCAGGGTTGCAAGCTCGATCCCCAGTGTGGGGCGTGCAGGAGGCAGCCGATCAATGATTCTCTCTCATCACTGATGTTTCTATATCTCTCCCTCTCCGTTCCTCTCTGGAATCAATAACAATATTTTTTAAATGGTGCTCTAAAACGAGACACAATAGCTAACACAGAAAAGCACACGTTTGGGGGCATTTAAGTTCTGCGTGCTGCTAAATGTGCCGTATGCCACACACAGCAGCGTGGGTTTGCTGTGTGATTTTGGACGGGGTGGATGAAATGCTGCATCTCTGGGCTCCTTTGCCTTTGAGCTTTCACTAAGGGCGGGCAGAAGTGAGCCTGTATTACAGGACTGCGCTAGGGTTAAGGGGACCCTACAAAGGCTGGCGAACACCCCCCACACCCCCCGCAAGGCACGCAGCAGTGGGAGCCGGAGCTGCCATCTCCCAGGTCTGCAGGGGTGACGGGAGTATGGTTATAGGACCAGGAGAGGGACAGCCACCCGCGGTGACTCCGCAGGGAAAGGGAAGAAACACTCAGATCGCACCATCTTCTCAGCCCTGCATTTCCTCAGTGGTTTATGTTTTTTAAAAGGCTGTGAAATAAAGACATAATTATGTTTAACTCAGTTTTTTGTGTGAATTATTATTAACCATATTTTTAGGGAGTTAATTAGGATGAGATTAATGGATAGAAGGAAATGTTTATTTTTATATCAGATTTCCTTTTTTAAAAATCCTCACTTGAGGATGTGTTGGTTTTTTTTTTTATTGATGAGAGAGAGAGAGAGAGGGGGAGAGAGAGAGAGACTTCCTCTCTCATTGATGTTTCTATCTTTCTATCCCTCTCCCTTCCTCTCTCTCTTTAAAAAAAAAATCTATCTATCTATCTATCTATCTATCTATCTATCTATATATTAAAAATAAATATGTCTGAAGGGTCAAATGGGCTATAACCCAGCACACAGAACTACCTCAGGATTTACATGGCTGCACGTACTGCATTGTATCTGGTGCCACAATTTACATCACAAACCCGCACAGATGCATGTTTAGATTGTTCCCAATTTTTCTTTAGTACAAGTGAGCAGAGTAACTCCGGAGGCCCTCCGCTAAGTGGCGTATTCCATAATTGTTCCCTTAGGGCCGTGGTTGGCAAACTGCGGCTCGAGAGCCACATGCGGCTCTTTGGCCCCTTGAGTGTGGCTCTTCCTAAGCCTTAGGAGTACCCTAATTAAGTTAATAACAATGTACCTACCTATATAGTTTAAGTTTAAAAAATTTGGCTCTCAAAAGAAAT